AGTGCTGCACACTGGCTCTGCACTTAGCAGACGTCCAGAACCGCTGTAAAACACTTCTTACTTTGTATTATTTCATTTTATCTTCACAGCAACCCTATTAAGCAGGTACTATATTGTGGTATTTTATTCTGTTGTGCGTGGGGTTGCTGTGAGTCAGAACCGACTGGACAGAACCCAACAACAACGTCCCATGGACTGCCGCAAGGACTACCCAGTCTGAGCAGAAGTACAACAAACGCTCCTTAGAAGAGAGGATGGCCGGACTGCAGCTCACTTGCTTTGGGGAAGTCATCAGGAAAAGCATATGATGGCTGGTAAGACAGAGAGTAACAGAAAAGGAAGGAGGCCCTCCATGGGATGGATGGACATATGGCTGTAACAGTGACTCAAATGTAGCAGGTGACCTGGCAGCTCTTCCTCGCTATACCTAAGGTTGTCATGAGTGTCACAGCCAACTGTACAGAGACTAACAATCCTCATTTAATAGATACCATAGATGAGGAGCTCTGATAGTGCCCTAAGGCACTTGACTGCTAACCAGAGGGCTGGCGGTTCAAACCCATCAGCCATTCCTCGGAAGGAAGGAAGATGGGGCAATCTACTTCCGTAGTCATACTGCCTTGGAAACCCAAGGAGGGGTCACTACAGGTCAGATCTGACTGGAGGGCGGTGAGTTAGGTTTTGGTTTCTGGTTAGCAGTCCAGTGCCTTCGGCACTAAGCCACCAGAGCTCCCTTTTATAGATATAGATCTATTAAGTGGGGATTGTTATTAGTTTCTATATAGTTGCTTTTGGTTTCTTTCTTTCTTTTCTTTTAAAATATACAGATGGCGCTCTGGTAGCATAGTGGTTAAAACATTCCTCTGCTAATCAAAAAGGATGGCATTGAACTCACTAATCGCTCCGTGGAGAACATGAGGCAGTGTTGTTGTTGTTGTTATGTGCCATCAAGTCAGACCCAACTCACAGTGACCCCTCCTTGGGTTTCCCAGGCAGTACCACTACAGAAGTAGATTGCCCCATCTTCCTTCCGAGGAGTGGCTGGTGGGTTTGAACCGCCAGCTTTCTGGTTAGCAGTCAAGTGCCTTAGCCACTATGCTACCAGAGCTCCCATGAGGCAGTGTGCTTCCCTAAATATTTCCAGCCTCGGCAATCATACAGGGCAATTCTATTCTGTTCTACAGGGTCGCTATGAATTGGAATCGACTTGATGCCGGTGGGTTTGGCTAACAATATTTTATAGATATGGAAACTGAGGCACAGAGGAATTAAGTCTCTAGTCCAAAGTCTGAGAGTTAAAGCCAGTCCATAGGGCACTGTGGCGGGAATGACAAAGTGACTGAATCAAAGGGAACGAGATCAGAAGGGAACTTTATCACCACTTGAGGCGAAATCGGCCCCTGCCAGTGCACTCCAGGACCCCCGTAACCTTGACCCGCGAGGGATGGAGGCTCACCGGGATGAACGTGCCTCGGATCCCGCGCTCCGGGGCGTCTGGGCGCCGCCCGCCTCGGCCCCGCCCCTTGTCCTCGAATTATCCAATCCTACGTCCTTCATGCAAATGAAGCACATAGAGAGAGCCTATGCAAGAGCGTCAGGGGCGTGGCCTTCCGTTCACCTCCCGGGCAACGTTCTGATTCATTGTTAAAATAAAGAGGCCGTGACCCCCGCCCCCCACTGGCCGCCCAGGTGCGTGGAAACCTGAGCCGAGGTTCGTACCAGGCAGCGGAAAGGCGAGGGCTGAGGGGAGGACGGGGCGGCGAGGAACACGGGGCGGGCCTGTTTGACTGGCTGGATGGAGAGGTCCAGGGGTCCTTTCTTTGGGTGGGGCATGCGTATCGGCTAGGGTTTTTCATTAAACTATCCACATCCAAAGTGTACTTCAGAGAAAGATTCTGCGCCTTAGGGATGCAGGGAGCGGGGGCAGCGAGGGTGCGTGCAGCTAAACCTTCCCCAGTTCCCAGCCCCTGGGGAAATGAGCGCCGTTCTCAGCCTGGGACGATGCTCCTTTTTGCGTCTGGCCTGGAAGGGAGCCGCCTAGGCTGGGCCGGACAGATGCGCACTCCCTCTGCCCCGGGAGCAGGGAACGACGGGGAGATGGCTGCCCCAGGAGGGTCCGAGACCCCAGAGCCGTGGAGGGGCCAGTGGGGCCCAGCCCTACACCGAGCCCTGCCCCAGTCCCAATCCGCACCTCAGGTCTCATGGCGGAGGTGCCTTCACCATGGCTGTCCCAGGAGAGAATGTGAAATTCCCCAGCTCTCAGCCGAGATTGGCAGCAAGGGCCTGATCCCCTGGGAGGCTCTGGAGGCAACTCACCAGGTGAGGATAGGTATGGGTGAGTGACCTGGGGCAGCATAAGGGTGCCTGTGTTTTGGGAATTCGAATTCCTCCCATCTGCCCCAATCCACCCTCACTCCCCTGGGACTCTGTAGGGTCCTCGCAGGTATTGTTCCTCTGAGGCATGGATGTTAGAGCCCTCAGGGCAAGTTAGAGCCCTGGGTGCAAGTCAGAGTGCTGGGCTTCTCTTTGGCTTTGCTGTGCCACAAACCTGCTATGTGACTTTAGGTTAGTGACTTATTTGGAGACTGTAAATGCCCACCCAGCCCTTTCTTTGCCTCACACATTGTTTCCCAAGGGGCCTTGTGATTTTGCAGTATGATCCAATGCCCCTTACCTCTATCTCCAAGAGGGCAGAGAGGCACCCAGACCTGGTTGTTGTTGCGTTGTTGGGTCCGTCGAGTCGTGTCTGACTCATAGCAACCCCATGCACAGCAGAATGAAACACCATCTGGTCCCGCGCCAGCTCCGCAATCCTTGCTATACTTGAGCCCATCGCCGCTGCCACCGGTTCAATCCATCTCGTTGAGGGCCTTCCCCTCTTTCATCAACTCTCCACCTTACCAAGCATGACATCCTTCTCCAGGGAATGGTCCCTTCTGACAACATGACCAAAGTATGTGAGACGAAGTCTGGCCATTCTCGCCTCTAAGGAGCATTCTGGCTGCACTTCCTCCAGGACAGACCTCTTAGTTCTTTTAGCAGTCCACGGTACTTTCAGCATTCTTCACCAGCACCACAGCTCAAAAGCATCAATTCTTCTTTGGTCTTCCTTATTCATTGTCCAGCTCTCACATGCATATGGGGCGATTGAAAATACCACGGCTTGTGTCAGGTGCACCTCAGTCCTCAAGAAGACATCTTTGCTCTTCAGCACTTGAAAGAGGTCCTTTGCAGCCGTCGTCTGATGCCCTGACTGCTGCTTCCATTGGCATCGATTGTAGAACCAAGTAATGTGAAGTCTTTGACAATTTCAATCTTTTCTCCATTTATTGTAATGTTGCTTATAGGACAAGTTGTGAGGATTCCTGTTTTCTTTATATTGAGATGTAATCCATACTGCAGACTGTATTCTTCAATCTTCATCAGTAAGTACTTCAAGTCATCCTCACTTTCAGCAAGCAAAGTTTGTTGTCAGTGTATTGCAGGTTGTTAATGATTCTTCCTCCAATCCTGATGCTATGTTCTTCTTCATATAGTACAGCTTCTTGGATTATTTGCTCAGCAGATAGTTTGAATAAGTATAGTGAAAGGATATAACCCTGACATACTCCCTTCTTGCTTTTAAACCATGTAGTGTTCCCTTTTTCTGTTCAAACAACAGCCTCCTGGACTATGTACAGGTTCCTCATGAGTACAATTAAGTGTTCTGGAATTCACATCTTCTCAATGTTATCCACAATTTGTTATGATCCACACAATCAAATGCTTTGGCATAGTCGATAAAATTCAAGTAAACATCTTGCTTTCTTTGCTTTGAGCCAAGATCCATCTGACATCAGCGATGATATCTCTCGTTCCATGTCCTTTTCTGAAACTAGCTTGTATTTCTGGAAGTTGTTTGTCAATATACTGCTGCAACCATTTTGAATTATCTTAAGTAAGATTTTACTTGCATGCTATATTAGTGATATTGTTCAATAATTTCCACATTCTGTGGGATCACCTTTCCTTGGAATGGGTACAAATATGGGTCTTTTCCAGTCAGTTGGCCAGGTAGCTGTCTTCCAAATATCTTGGCATAACTGAGTGAGTGCCTCCAGCAGGACATCCGTTTGTTGAAACATCTCAATGGTATTCCGTCAATTCCCGGAGTCTTGTTCTTCGCCAGTTCTTTCAGTGCAGCTGGATTTGAATCCAGTTCAGCCACTGTGCCCTTGAACAAGTTATAGAATGTCTTTGAGCCTTAATTGCCTCATCTGAAATTTTATCTATAATGAATATTGATAATGAAATATTATCTATTATCTATAATGTTATTTCTAAGGAGCTCTGGTAGCATAGTGCCTAAGGCACTTGACTGCTAACCAGAAGGCTGGCGGTTCAAACCCACCAGCCACCCTCTGAAGGAAGAAGATGGGGCAATCTACTTTCGTAGTGATACTGCCTCGGCAGCCCTAGGAGGAGTCGCTATAAGTCGGGTTCAACTCAATGGCACATAACATCAACATAGTATTATTTCTAATACTAGTAGCCATAAGACAAGGGCACTCAGACTTTGACAAGCATTGGAATCCCCTGGGGGGCTTGTTTAAAATGCACACCCCAGGCCTCACCTTCAGAGATTCTCACCAGGCAGGTCTGGGAGGGAACCAGGAATCTGCTCGTGTATGAGCAGCCTGGGAGAGTCGAGTGTAGGGACATCGGAACACATTTTGAGCAACACCACAGTGAGGACTAGACATCAGGCTGAAATGCTTGGCTGAGTCTGGTGCTTAGTAGGTGCTTAATGAGTGTTTGTTGAGTGACTAAATGAATGGATGAATGAATGGATGGATGGATGGGTCTCATTTCTTTGGTCCTTGTCTTGACTGGGGCAAGTTGGGGCTGGGGTGCAGGTGGAGGCTCAGTCAGCCATCTGATCCTTGCCTCCCCTTATCTTCCCAGCCCTCCCTACAGGCTCTGCTGGATGACTGGAGCTGCCCTGGCCTGACGCGTTCGACATGGAGCAGGTGGGTAAGATTGTCCCCTGCGAACACTGTGAGACTAACATGCTTGCCCAGAGCCTCTGTCAAAACAGTTTCCACTCTGAAGAGGCCCATGGGACCAGGCACCAGGGACGCTGGCTTTCCTAAGTGGTTGCGTAGTTTGGGGTGGGGAGTAACTTGCAGTGTGAACCCTGATGCTGACATTCCTCCTGGGCAGAGTCTTAGTTTTCCTGTCTGTATCATGAGACAGTTGGACCATGTTTGTGTTTCTTAAACATCAGTCAGTCTGCTCTGCTTTTCTGAGTTTCTGTCATCGCCTCACCTGATCTATGACTTTACTGTTCTTTCAATTGACACTCTTTTTTTTCACTTATACTGAAACCAAACCGTTGGTCCCCACCCCAGATGGAAAACTGGCACCATGTCCAGAATAGAGAAGGACATAGAAGGTCAGGGTAGAAAATAAAACAGAAATGTTATTGAATTCTAGCTAGAGTGCTGTCTGCTGAGGGCTCTGTGCCCGAGGCCTGTTGTCTCTGTGTTAAAAAGGGCGATTAGAGCTCAGAGAGGTGTTAAAGATACCTGCAGAGTGGGGAATTTCTCCTTGAAGTAACTGAAGGAGTGAAAGGTTGAAAAGGGAGGTACTGTCTCACTCTGGGATCTGCTTGCTCTGAGGCCAAGGCCTGATACGAGTACACCTCGGGCACCTGGTATACATGCTATGGGAAAACAAACAAACCATTGTCTGGTTGGTTCCGACTCCTGGTGACCCGACGTGAGTCAGAGAAGTGTGCTCCAAAGCACTTTCAATGGCTCATTTTTCAGGAGTAGATGGCCAGGCCTGTCTTTCGGAGTGGCCTTTTGGTTAGCAGATGAGCATGTTAAAAAGATTAGCACCACCCAGGGCTCCTATGAGAAAGAAACACAGAGACCGAGTTGACTCCCTACGGCTCTGTGGGTCCCTGCAGCGCCTGAGGTTCCCATGCAGGATGGGATGGAGGGGGAGCGCAGGTGGGGGAGAGCAGGCCTAGAGAGTTGGTCCTTGTGAGGAAGTTGCCGAGCAGCTTACGAGCCAGGCAGTCCTGCGTTTTGTCCCAGGTTTGCTGTTGACCTGCTGTGTGTGTGGCCTTGTGTCATTTAACCTCTTGGAGTGGAGGCGACAGACAATCAGGATATGTGGCTCTGTTTCCCCAAAGCCATGTGTGGCCAACTTGGTACCAAATCTTGGAGCTTTTTTTTTTTTTTTTTTAAATATTTTATTGTGTTTTAGGTGAAAGTTTTCACAGCAAATTGGATCTCCATTTAACAATTTTTATACATATTGTTGTGTGACATGGGTTACAATTTTCATTGTCTGTTGGTGTTTTCTGTTCTGTTTGTTCTGTTTCTGTTGATCTGGTTTCCCTGCCCTTCCTTGACTTCTCATCTTTGTTTTTTCGGTAAATGTTGACCATCTGAGGTCTTGTGTAGTTGATTGGTTAAGAGACCACATTCCTCACGGGGGGTGATATTATTTATTTTATAAACCAGTCTGTTATATGGCTGAAAGGAGACCTCTGGAAGTGGCTTTAGTTTTGAGTTGAAAGGGTATCTTAGGGCAATAGTCTTGGGATTCCTCGGGTTTCTATCAATCTAGTAAATCTGGTCTTTTTTAGGAATTAGAGTTTTATGCTACATTTTTCTCCCATTCTATCTGGGACCTTCTACTGTATCCCTTCTGTTGCATTGAATTGTTGGTAGGTGCTCGCTTGGCACCATCTAGTTCTTCTGGTCTAAGGTTAGAAGAGATCATGGTTTGTGTGGGCTATTAATACTGTGAACTAGTTTCTTCTTTGAGTCTTTGACAGTCTTCACTCTCTTTTGCTCCAGACAAGTAGAGACCAATAGTTGTATCTTAGATGGCCGCTCACAAGGTTTTAAGGCCCAGAAGCTGCTCACCAAAGTAGGATGTAGAACTTTGGAGATTCTTTTCTACCTGTTGCTAAACGTCCAATAACAACTCCCTCACCCCAGCCCTGTGAGTCCATCTCCCATGGGAATGACTTTCTCCCAGTGGGTGGGGAACCAGGAAGCACAGAGCAGGAGTAAAGCCTTGAATTCAGACAGATGTGAGTTCTAGTCTCAGTTCCACCACTTCCTAACCCTGAAACCTCAGGCCAGTTGACATATTCAACACATTCTGAATGAGAGCTTAAACCATGCTGGGCATTGTGCCTGATGTCAGGGAAATGGTGATAAATAAGTCAAACACACCTTCTTGGGGTTTGTGGTCAGCAAGGGAAATGGTTAAAAAAAAAAAAAAGTCATTATGCTGATAATGATTTAGTCATCATGGTTGTAATAAATGCTGCCAAGTTATAGCAAGCAGTCTCAAAGGTGAAAGATAAGGCATTGGGGGAAATGTCTCCAAAGAAATGACATTTCAGACATGAAGCCTGGGCAGGCTTTGGCTCAGAGAGGTTAGAAGAGGAGAGGATGAGAATAGCACATGCAAAGGCCCTGAGGCAGAAAGGAGTGAGGCACATTGGGGGACTGGAGAGAAACCAGCAAGAGGGTGGGGCAGACCAGCTCCAGGACAAGGATGGAGATGGGGCAGGGCTGCATCTCACTGGCCCTTGTGGGGCCTTGTAGACATGCCAAGAGCTTTGGTCTTTACCCTGAGAGGTATGGGGAACCACAGCGGATTTTAAACGGGGGAGTCATGGTCAGATTTGCATTTTTCAAAGTCCCTCTGACTGCTGGGCAGAGAATGGATCACAGGGAGGTGGGATGGAATCAGGGTGACCGGAAGGAGAAGGCACAATTACTCGTGCAAGAGATGATGAGCGCTTAGCGATGGAAATGGACTGACACACTCCAGAACTAATCTCACAGGAGGATCTACAAGATTTGGTTCCTGAATAACAAGGAGGCGGAGGGGTGGGGGAGGTCCACGGCTGACCCCTAAGTTATTTCCTGAGGCTGGGTAGTAGGGATGGGAAATCTGTTTGGGGAGTGCTGAGTTTGAGGTGCTTGTAGGACACCCCACTGGAAATTAGACCAGTTCAAGTCGACTCCAACTCATGGTGACCCCCAGCGTTTTCTTTCTTAGTAATTCACTGTGTTGTTTTTGTTGTTGTTGACAGTGTACACAGAACATACACCAGTTGAACAGTCTTTTTGACACTGCAGTTCTGTGATGTCGCACGCTGTCACTTGTACAACCACTCATACCCTCCTTTCCTGAACTGTTTTCCCTTCATTACTATGAACTCACTCTCTGCTAAGTTTCTGGATTTTCAGTGGCTGATTTTTGGAGATGGATCTCCAGGCCTTTCTTTTGAGGGCCCTCTGCGTGGACTTGGATCCCCAACTTTTCAGTTAGCAGCTAAGGGTGTCAGTGTTCGCACCACCCAGGGACGCTCCGTGGAGATGAGGGGAGGTCATTGAACGTGCAGGAGAGAGAGGCTTGAGAGCCATCCAGATTAGTGACTCACTCAGCTCGTGGATGAGCTGTGTCTATAGAGGAGAGTGAAGAGTGAGGAGAGGGGAGGAGGGCCCGGGGGGAGCAGAGGCCGGGTAGCAAGGAGGGAGGAAGCCGAGACTGTCAGGAGATGGAAATGGAGCCGGAAGAGCACCCTGGACTATCTGCCCCCTGCTCCCTGGAGCCAAGGCAGGAAATGGTTTCAAGATCAGAGGGGGCTATTTGTTTCAAATCCTTTGTTTCTTTGACTGTCCAGTTGCTGTGAGCAGCCCCCAGGTTCTGTGAACGCCTGACGGATGGCTGGTATGTCCCTGAGTCAGGCCCTGGGACCAGATTCTGGGTGGGAGACCATTCCCTGGACCCTGAATGTGGGCCCCAGAGTCTGGCAACCACCTCTTCTTCACTTTGCCACGTGCCTTCCTGTCCACCTGCTGTCACCGGGATGCCACCGGGGATCTGGCAGGTAGCTGGTTCTCTGTGGTTGAGTGTTGATGGAATGACTGGGCTTCTTCCTATTGCTCCCCCAGGGACAGGGGGTGCCTGTCCTAAGTGCCCGCCCTAAGTGCCCGCTGGTGGCCCCTGCTTGCTCTGCATCATCCCCTCTCTCCTCATCTCCCAGGGAGCCAAGTTTTGCCAGTTTTTCCTCCAAGGGGCCTGGATTCGAAAGCTTGGCCCCATCAGCCCCTGGCTTTAGCTCAAGAGATTTCACACACATGGAGACACTACATCTGTTATGTTAGAAAATGGGCCACGGCCTCGCTGGAGCTGCTCTGTTCCTGAGCTGAACCCCTAATTACACCTGGGCACAGACTCCTCCCTGTGGGATCCCCTGTCTCCTGGGGCTGCATCCAGTTCTGACATCGTCAGCCACCCAAGACCGTGCAGAAGTGACCCCAGGTTCCAGAGGCCCCTGAAGCCTGACCAGCTGGTCATGCAGAAGGCCCCAGTTCTGCATGTCCCAGCTCTGCTCATGGCTGACTTTCCCACAGGGTGGGAGGTAGGGGAGGGGAACTCTGGCAATCACACAAATTGACCAGGTTGTGGCCAAGTGCTGGAGGGGCAGGAGAGGGCCAGATAAGTGGCCCCTGCTGTAAGTCAGACCCTCACATACCTTTTCTATTCATTATGTTTTTCAATTTTTATTTTTATTGTACTTTGGGTACAAATTTACAAAGCAGGTTTGTTTTACATTCAACAGTTCATCCACATTTGGTTTCATGGCCCCAATTACAATCCCCAACCATAAAAAGCTGTCCTCCCTCCTGTCCCTGTAACTACCTGCTCCCTGCGTCCTTCTTATCCATGCCTTCCTCTCTGTCCGGCTTTCCCTCTATGTGAATGCTGGCCCTCTGATATCCCATGGCTGATCGATCTAAGGGGTGCATTTCCCTAGAGTAGGTGGGTGCATCACCCTGGGGTAGGTGTTCTGCATGTAGGTCTTTCTGTTGGGCTAAGAGCCAGTCCACGAAATGAGTCCATTTCTAGGCCTGAAGTGTAACCCAGGGCCATAGTCTTGGGGTTTCTGCCAGTCTCTCTCTGACCAGTAATTCTGGCCACTTTTGTGTTTTTGAATTTTGTTCCACATTTTCCTTCCTACTCTATCCAGGATCTCCAATTTTGATCCCTTTCTGAGTGGTTAGCCTTGGTAGCGGGGCACCATCTAGTTCTCTTGGTTTCAGAGTCATGAAGGCTGAGGTTTTATTTATTAACTCTTAATTGCATTTAATATTATTTTACATTTATAAAGTACTATTTGACATTTTTACATTATTTATCACATTTAAGATATATGGACCAAACACTGTCCTAAGCCCTTTACAAATATCAACTCATTTATTCTCATAGCGGAGGGCATTGGTGAATCTGAGGTTTCCATGTAGGAGAGCCAGGTTCGAGGCCTGCCAGTACACGGCACGTACAGCCACCTCCCATCCGTCTGTGGAAATGTGTGGGTTGCTATGATTCTGAATGGGTTTCAGCAGAGCTTCTAGACTAAGTCAGACCAGGAAGAAAGGCCTGGCCATCTACTTTTGAAAACCCTATACGGATCATCACAGTCTGATCTGCACCCACTCATGGGGTGGTACAGGACCAGCCAGGGTTTCACTCCATTGTACACGGTGCCACTGTGAGGCTGACTTGATGGCAGTCACCAGCAATGGTGACAGCAGCCTGTCATAGCATCCTCAGGAGATGTTCCCTGTTATCACCCCCTGGTATGAGGGGCACAGCTGAGGCCCAGAGAGAAGTCACTTGTCCAAGATCTTGGTCTCAGCTATGCCTCCATTTTAGAGATGAGAAACCAAGGCTCAGAGAGGGGAAGGCACTTGGCTGAGGTTGCCCAGCTAGGAAGTGGAGGAGCCAGGATTGGATCTGATGTCTGTCTGAGGCCAGAGGCTGTGCTCATCTACCAGACAGGAAGTCAAAGCCAAGGACTGACTGCTGGGACTGCTCATGGGGGTGGTGGTGGTGGGGGCCGGGGTGAGGGCAGGGATGAAGTGCTGCTGCAGGCCGGGGTCCTGCCGCACCTGCCTGGGCTGGGACCCCTTGGTGATGTCTGTGAGCCACTCCCTCCGCATTCAACAGTGAGGTCCCCAGGGCAGCCGAAGCACCAGGCTCTGCTACGGATCTGACACCTCCTGCTGCTGAGGTCTGATCAGAATCTGGCTTCAGGGCAGGGGCCAAAAGTGAACCCAGGCAGGCCTGCTCTGGCCTGGCCAGGGCGGCAGACACCCAAGCCCCTCTCCTGGGCCCAGCTCAAGCCCTGCCAGCGGTGGTCTTCTTGGAACTTGGAGAGCTTCTGCTCACCCCAGTCTCTGACCAGGCTTCAGCCTTGGCCTTAAGCTGCACATTCCCCAGGGAGCCCCGGCCCGGCCCCGCGTGCCTGCCTGGCTCTCAGGTGAGCTGGCCAGATCGGGTTCCTGCGGTTTCATGTCCTGCATTGTTCTTGGCTGGGCCTTGGCTTATGAAACAGTAATGAGGGGCCCCTGCTCCCGCGGCCGGCCCCTCTAAGGTTTCTGCTGCCTCCGCCGCTGCCACCACCACCCACAGTTGGGGCCTGGGAGGGCGGCAGTGTGGGGGCCGGAGCCGGAGCCCCCCGGGGACGAGGGTGCTGACAGCTGTCACCGCTGGAGCCCGCTGCCCAGGTAACCCGAGAAGAGGCAGGCCGTGGGGTGCTGTGGCCTCAGTCTCCCACCACTGGGGGAGGGCCCTGCCACCCGGGAGATGGGAAGGGATGGGGGGGCCTTCTTGGAGGTGAGCAGCCGTTCCCCCTGGGCAAGCCCAGCAGAGCCCTGGCGAGCAGGCGTGGCCGTGCTGAGAGGGGGAGGTGACTGGAGCCGCAGTGGCCCATGCCCCTGCCCTCACCCCTTGGCCCTGGAGCCCCCTGCCTCTCCTTCAGTGGCCACATCTCTTTCCCTCCAAGGTCTTTTCCTCGCACCGCCTCCTCCCTCAGAATACCTCCTTCTCCCTCTGATCTTCCCCCATTCTTCAGGCCAGCCAGGCCTTCCTTCCTCCTCTCCCATGTCCTCCTTCACTTCTCCATTCCTTCTGGTGACACAGGATCCTCTGGGGTCCTTCTGCCCACTTGGCATCCTCAGGCACGCACACACACATACCAAGAGACACACATAAGTAATCATACATGCATGTATACACACATACGTTAATGTATGCACACAACACCTATGTGCACACATGCGCCTCAAACACGGGCCTGTATACATACATGGACCTGCACCTAGGCCCATACGTGATCACACACAGATACCCTGGCCAGTCCCAGCTTGGGTCCCCAGGGCCTCTCACAGCCTGCTGGGCGGCTCTCCTTGAGTAGTGTGAGATCCCGGGAGATGTCTGAGATGCTCCTAGCCTGCCTGGTGGGGGAGGGGCCGTGCAGGGAGAGGGGAGCCTGCACGTGGGTTCCGAGCTGCCTCCTGTCTCCAACTCTGTCCCAGGAGCCCGGGAGCCCTCCTAGTGCTGAGGCGCCTTACTGTGACTTGCCCCGTCGCCCCCCTGTACCCGAGGACCCGCTCAGTGCCTTGACCTCCAGCTGCCAGTCCGTGGTGGGCCCAGGCCTTGGGCCAGGGCCCGAAAGGTGAGTACAGCTCTAGGGCTTGGAAAAAGGCTCCCTGGGTTGGATGTCCTCACCCACTTCACCCTGCACCCCTCCCTGATGGCAGAAGCATCCATCTGGGGTGGCTGTTGGTGTGGGTCATGAGGTCAGTTAACTTGGCCTGGGCAGATCACACTGTCCCTGTTTATAGGTGGACCTCTGAGCCCACCCTGCCAACCCTGACTGTCTCCTCCTGCGGCCTCGTCCACCCCGCTGATGCTCTGAGACCTAGCTTAGCTCTGCTCTAGGGCGCAGGGCAGTCACGAACCTAGCCAGCAGTGGGTATGCAGTGGGTGTGTAGTGGGTGTGCAGTGGGTATCGGGCCTGCTCACATTTCCTGGTTTTCTTTGTACCCCAGGGCACCTGTCACCCACCTACCTGGCTATGTACACCTCTAGTCTCTAGAATCCCATGCAGGACCTTTTATCCTACAGGCCAGAGCCGAACTTTTGGGGTTACAGAAGGGCATGGCCTTGGGGTCTGGAAACCCGGGTTCAGCTTCAACTCCGTCCCTGACAAGCTGTGGGAACTTGGGCAAGTTTAATCTCTCTGTGCCTCAGTTTCTCTGTAAAATAAGGAGTTGAATCAAGTTAGCATTGCTGTGGGAACATATGTTCCTCACCGATGGGCAGTACTTAAAAAACAAAAGGTTCAGTCACCAAATGAATTCAGGGGAGTCTGGGATAAGCAAAGTTGAGTATCTTTCCTGCGGGACTTGTCAGAGCCTTTAGTTGTGAGGTGTGCATTGTGGCATTTAGGTGGCAGGAGATAAGAGAAGTAGGCGGTGTGTCCAAACTGTTTTCCAGGGTCATCAGCCATTACATCTTGTAGGTCATTCTGTGCTCACTTGGGGGTACTGCCAGCTCTGAGCCCAGAGGCCACTGGCTTCTCTAAAACTAGGCTTTCTCCGAAATCTTTCTTGTTATTCAAGCTGGTAGGTCCGTCAGTGCGCCTAGAGCCCTGCTGCGTCTCAGAGCACCCCCTTAGCCCAGCACCATTCTGCGATTCTCCGCGTTAGTCACACTGAGCTTTGGGGGTATCCTCCCCTACTCTTCCACCCCAGCCTGCTCCAGTGACAGGGGACTGGGGCTAGAGCAGCAGCCCTGGTTTACAATGCAGCACTGCCACTGCCTAGTTCTGTGATCTTGGCCAGTCTTTTTGACCTCTCTGAGCTTCTGTACAATGGGAGTCATACTCACTTGAATGGGAGGCTGTGTAGGAGCTAAAGGAGGTAGCCCACACCAAGTGTCCAGCTCCCTCTGCCGAGCCAGCGTACAGATTCCTGGCCCCTGGGCGATCATGTACATCCAGGTTGGGAGGGGGCATCACTCCTTAATTCTTTTGGGGAAAACGTCATGGGTCTTTGTCTCCTCTCCCAGGGGACCCCCAGCTGCCCCCAGAAGCAGGAGCCCAGAACTCGAGGTGGCGTCCTTTCTGGAGGGCTTGGCCTTCTCCCTGTCTGGCAGCTGCAACGAGGGCCCCGACTCTGGCACCAGTTCCAGCCCCAACGGTGACACCCCTGATGATACCAGCAGCTTGTCCTCTGTGGTGAGCTGGCGGTGGGAGGCAGGGGCTAGGAGCAGGCCACCCCTCTGTCCCCAGCCCCAGTGTCCCACCCAGACTTCCAGATGAGGCCTGACTGAGCCTCTCACAACAGGGAATTGGACTAAGGTCTTCTGGAGACTCGGCTGGTCACCCCAACTAGCCAGCTGGCCCGCTTGCTCCTGGGATGGGCAGGAAGCTCTGGCGGGGCCGGCCCAGGGTGGGAGTGGAGTTTGCCCTGAACAGGAGATGGAAGAGGGGCCCCAGGTGCAGGGATCTCGGGTGAACCACCAAGGTCGCTCAGGTCACAAAGGGCTGGGATGGTGGGCATAATGTCCAGAGCAAGGTGGACACTGGGCCGCTGGGCCCTGCCCTGGTCACACACTGTTGAGCCCTGTGACCAGCCCTGGCGTAGCCTTCCAAGGAACAGAGAAAATGGAGCAGGCTTGGGGGCCCTGATCAGGGCTGGGGGGCCATTTAGCCAGCCAAAGAGAACACTCGGGGGCCCTTCATCCACACGTTTATCCCGTAATGGCTGTCATGGGCAAGAGGCAGCCTTGTTCCATGAGACCATCAAGGGGAAGTGACAGGGAGGCTCAGAACACACAGTCTTGCTCTGTAGGCACTAAGTGACAGGCTCCATGCTGAGAAAATGGCAGGTATCTGCTCATGGGAGGCTCCCCACTTCTCTCTGGGTTCAAGGCTGTGATGGCCCCATTTTGGAGTAAGAAAATGAGGCTGAGAGAGTCGAAGCAACTTACAACCTGAGCCTACACATCTGGGCAGTGGTGGGGCTAGGATTTGAACCTACATCTCTCTGGACCCTGTAGGTGTTTCTGAGGGGTTGCTAGGTCAAGGTCCTCCCACCATGTGGCATCAGACTGACCTGGGGTCAAGTCTCCTCCCAAATATGCCACTTCCCAGCTGGGGGACTTTGGGCAGGTTCTTCAATTCACGCAAGCGCCTACCTCACCGGTTGACTGCACGTTAGCTGAGCTGATGCCTGCAACAGTGCTGGGCATCTCACAGGTGCTCTTTAAATGCTAGCTCCTTTCTTTTCTTCTACCCCTTGCTTGCCGGAGTCATAGACCCTGGGGTCCGTCTTCTTCCTCCCCAAACATGCTGTCTCCTTCCCTCCCCTGGCAGGACTGGGACACTGTTGAGAGGCAGGAGGAGGTCCCCAGCGCGGACGAGCTCGCAATAATGATCCCACGGAGGCCTCAGGAGGGGTCGAAGGCTGACAGTGCCCGAAGGGCTCCGTCTCTCCTTGCCAGGCCTCCTGTGGGAGGAGACACCGCAGGCCCGAGAAAGGAGGGTGAGTCCTTCCACCAAGCTAGGTTGGTCCCAGTGACCATAAGTGTGGTGATAGCCTGAGCCCAGGCAGCCATTTTGCTGACCATGTGGGCCTCTTGGCATGGCCCACATCTTAGCAATAGTAACAGTTCCCATATAATTATGGGGCAGCCATATGTGCCCTACTACCTGCTTTAAATATATTATCTCACAACTGGTGGGTTAGGGTCTTTGGATTCTAAGTGATGGAAGCTGGCTGAATATAAATGGAATGACTCGCATAAATAAAAAGTCTAGGGGCACTGACTTCAGGCATGGCTGGATCCAGGTGTTCAAACAGCATCAGAAATCTGGTCTGCTTTCTTCTGGTTGCCTTCTTTCTCAGCCAGGCCGTCCCCCAGATGACCATCAGCAGTGCCAGGCTGTCTGCTATCTCCTTACTGACTCTCACGGAAATCGGGCACCATCTTCCCAATGAGGTAGTTGAAGTCCCAGGAAGGGTTCTCTCTGGGTCACTGTGGTTCACGTGCGCACCTTTGTGGTGAGGGATGGGGTCAGGCTCTGTGCAAACCTCATGGCCTGAGAGTGATGGAAAGGGGATTCCCCAAAGGAAATCAGGGTGCTGTTTCTAGAGGCGAGGGAAGGCTGCTGGTCAGGCCGAGCCCACCGATGCCTGTGACAGCTGGTGAGGAGCTCGCTGGCACGTGGGCCCAGCATGCTGCCCCTCAAGCCTTGGGCCGTCAGTCACTACTACCCTGTGCTGCCTCCTGCTCTGTGTCTTCAGCACCAACAGGATTGGGGGATTTTGGGCAGGGGAATCCCGTCCTAACCCTGCCCGGAAATCCTGGCTTCCCAGATGCCTCTAGCATTCAGTCACCAAACATGGAAGCACTAAAAACAAAACCAAACTCACTGCCGTCGAGTCGAATCTGACTCGTAGCAACCCCTCCTTGGGTTTCCAAGGCGGTATCTCTATGGAAATAGATTGCCCAGCCTTCCTTCTGAGGAGTGGCTGGTGGGTTTGAACCGCCAGCCTTCTGGTTAGCAGTCAAGTGCCTTAGGCACTATGCCACCAGAACTCTTAGCTGTATGTAAAGCCTGGTCTAGACACCTGGGGCTTTCAGGAGGCATTCAACATGGTCCCTGCCCTGGAAAGCTCATCATTTTGAAAGCAGACAGACGGGAAATGATGAACAGCAGCCCAGGACAGAGGGAAAGCGATGAGCAGAGATCTGGGAGGGGGGAGGAACAGAGGAGAAAGAGACTCCTTCCAGCCAGGGAAGAATCCCAGAGGGGGGCCTTCTGGGCAAGGGCTGCCGTTCTAGCTAGGGAGACAGCCTGGGCAGAGGCTTGGAGGTGTGGCGTGGGAGTATCCTGGCACACAGGCCTGAGCACAGATGGTGATGCACAGATGAGCCAGGCCATACTGGCTCTCATAGCCTAGCCAGGAAGTTAGGGCTTCTTCTCATAAGTAGTAGGGAGCTACGGAAGGTTTTGGAAGAGGAGAGTGATGTACTCGGACCTGTGCCTTAGCAATTTCACTAGGGCAGAGGGTGGAGGATGAATTAGAGCAGGGTGAAGCTGAAGGACCAGAAATCAATTAAGACGTTGTTGTAGCTGCTGCTAGTCATAGACTAAATCATCGGTTAATGCTAAACCTGTGGGTTGTCGGGGAACAGGATATTCACACGCACCCAAAGTATCACCCCTCAGATTATGTATTGATGACAGAGGGAAAAAGTACCCTTAGGATGGAGAGAGCTGGCAGACACCACCTTAACTAAGTGGCCACTCAGCATCCCCACAGGGCAGCTGGTATCAGCTGCCCCTGCCTGATGCATGGGACAGGACAGGACATCTGTTCCAAGCCTTCCTGCTGACAAATCCTCACCTGCATCTAATCCTGAAGGAACATCAGGCAAACCCAAATGGAGGGGCTTTCTGCAAAATAACTGACCTGGACTCTGTGACAAACACAACCAAAAAAAGAAAAAAACAAACTCACTAATGTAGTCAGATCCGACTCATAAGCGACTCCTCTTTGGGTTTCCAAAGTGGTATCTCTATGGAAGTAGATTGCCTAACCTTCCTTCCGAGGAGTGGCTGGTAGGTTTGAACCACCAGCCTGCTGGTTAGCAGTCAAGTGCTTTAGGCACTACACCACGAGAGCTCCTGACAAACCCAAAGGGGCTGGAGAGTTGCTCTAGATTACAGGAGACTGCAGGGGCAGTGATGGCTCAGTGGTAGAATTCTCGGTTTTCATGCGGGAGACCCAGGTTTGATTCTCCGCCCGTACACCTCACGTGCAGCCACCACCCGTCTGTCAGAAGGTTTCCGTGCGGCTTTCACGCTCAACAGGTTTCAGCAGAGCATCCAGACTAAGACAGACTAGGAAGGACGGGTTGGCGAGCTTTTGCTGGAAATCAGCCAATGAGAGTCCTACGATCACAGCGGTCCAATCCGCGGCTCAGCGTGGGGATGACGCAGGACGCGGCAGCGTTTGGGTCTGTTGTGCATGGGGTCGCGGTGATTTGGGCGCGGACCTGATGGCGGCTAACGACAATAGCAACGTAGGAGGTTACAGAGACTTGGAACCCCTGTGTGATCCTGGGTTGCGTCCTGGATAGAAAAAAATAGAGCTAAGAAAGACAATAGGGCAGTTTGCGTATAGACTGTTTATTAGCTAACAGCATTGTATCCATGTTCTATTTCCTGAGTGTGATAATGGCTCTGTGATTAAGAAGAATGTGCTTGTTCATAGGAGATGCATATGGAAGGGTAAGGGGTAAAGTGTCCTGACATCTTCAGCAGGTTCAGCAAGACATAGCTGATAATAGGGAGGGAGGGAGGGTATTGGTTTCCCAGGGCTGAAACGATAGAAATACATCTCTCCCAGTTTTGGAGGTTAGAAGGCCTAAACCAAGGTATTGGCTGGGTCCTGCCCCCTCTGGAGGTTCTGGGGAAGGATCATTCCTTGCCTCTTCCAGCCTCTCATGGTCCCAGGACGTTCTTGGCTCCAGGCAGCATCACTCCATTCTCTGCCTCCGTCTCCACATGGCCTTCTCATCTTCCTCTCTGCCTCTCTCTCTTCTTTTAAGGACACCAGCCAGACTGGGTTAGGGCCCACCCTCCTCCAGTATGACCTATGTGAACTTAACTAATGACATCTGCAAAGACGCTTGTCCAAGTAAGGTGACATTCACAGGTAGCAGGGGTTAGGAGTTTGACATGTCCCTTTGGGGGACACTGTAACAAGTAGATAGATGGAGAACTCAGGTGAGACAGCTTGTCAACTGCTGGTGACTCTGGGTGACTGCTGCACTGTTCCTACCCCCGTTCTGTTGTTGTTGTTGTTATGTGCCGTCGAGTCGCCCCCATTCTGTAGCCTGTGCAATTGTTCAGGTAGGAGTTGGATGGATCTGAATTAGGGCCATGGTTGTGGATGAAGAGGGGACACAGAAGGATTTAGGAGGTGGACTTGACGGACTGGATGAGTTGGGGGATGCCTGGGGAGAGGACGCTATCCGGTTCAGCACTGGCCTGGGTGTCTGTGTGGACAGCAGAGCGCTTCACTGAGGGGAAGGATGTGGTGCTCAGTGAAGCCTCAGGGATGGGATGTAGGTGATGCTCACTCGGTCGCTCAGCAAACGTCTGCTTATTGCCCACAGTAGATCATGGCCGAACAAATGAGATAATCGTGAGAACAGCAGCAGTCAGGACAAGCAGGTCAGCGACACCTAATGGATCACACCTGTTATCCCCATAACACCTGCTGACCGCTCTGGGCTTCCCTGACTTCCTCTCTGCTGGCTCTCCCCCTTCCTTACCGGCTGGTCCTTCTCAGTCTCCTTGGCCAATGCCTTGTCCTCTGCTCACCCATTAGATTTTGGCTTCCCTGAGCCCAGACCTGGTCCCCATCTGTTCTCTCTCTACACACTCAGCTCTTGGATTTCAATACCATGCAGAGTGGACACTGATGACTCTTTTTTTTTTTTTTTTTTTTAATTTTTATTGTGATTTGGGTGGATGTTTACAGAGCAAAATTCACTTTCCATCCAGCAGTTCATACAGCGGTTCATGACATTGACTCAATTTCCCACAATGCAACAGCTGTCTTCCCACTTCCTCCCCATGGTTACCTCTTCCCTGTGTCCTTCCCCCCATGCACTCCTGCCCCCCGAGCTGTCTCCCTGTGCAGACACAGCCCTTCTGTTCTCCCATGATTGATCCCTCTAAGGAGCGTATCTACCTAATTAAATGTTCAGCTCACAGGCCTGTCTTTTGTTTGGCAGGAAGTCACAGGAGACACTGATGACTCGAGTGTCCCCCTCTGGCTTGGATCTCTTCTCCGAACTCATCCATCCCCCCTCCTACTGACCTCTGCACTGTATGAGGTCACCTCAAACTCAACCAAAACTGCACTCTTTCTTTCATGCACGCAAGAGTCCTTACTGAGCACCTACTGTGTGCCAGGCTCTGTCCTGCTACTAGAGAAGCCCTGGTGAACAAGACAGACAGACAAGGCCCTGCTCTCATAGAGCTGACAACCTGGAAGAGGGAAGGGAGGCAGAAAGCAAAGAAATAAATAAAAATAGTCCTGAGAGTGGAAAATAGTGTCAGGAGAATTAGGACAGCTGCTGTGGGAGCAAATGACCAGGTGGGCAGGGAAGCCTCTGGGGGAAGGGGGCACACTGCAGTTGAGATCTGAATGGCCAGAAGGAGCAGCCAGTGTGGAAGTCCTAAGGTGTGAACAGCGGTGGTGGGTTTGAGGAGCAGAGGAAGGCTGGTGGCAGCAGGCTGGTGCAGTGGCCAACCAACCCCTGGGTCTACCCTCTAAATTGGGTTCTCCTCTGGTCTCTTCTGAGTAGCTCTGGTGGCGTAGTGCCTAAGACATTTGACTGCTAACAAGAAGGTTGGTGGTTCAAACCCACCAGTCACTCTGCAGAAGGAAGACTGGGCAATCTACTTCCGTAAAGGTTTACTGCCTTGGAAACCCAAAGGGGGTCACTATGAGTTGTGATT